CTGCATGTGGTTTGGTTTTGTTTTTTTACTGTTTTTACAGAGGAAAAAAATCTCTTATCTGCTATACTCATTTAGGCTGTTTTGCACAAGTTTGCTTATGCAAGCAGTGTGTGAGTAATTTCACAACAATCAGTTACAAAATGTAGATTTGATTCACGGCCAACTACTGCAGTTTGAATTAATGAGCTGGGTAGGTGAAGGTAACAAATTGGGAAGGAAAATAATTACAATTGATAGATGTTAAAATCTGGTCTGAGTTTGTGTTGTTGTTGTATCTGGAATGTAATACATTCTAATTAATTAAATCAACAGAAAGAACCAATTTTACTGTAAGATTTGAATTTTATTAGTGTACTGGGAAATAGAAATTTAAATTTTATTTTTATATATAGTGATTTTGGACTTTCGGAACACAGCCAGCGTCTGCATTAAAATAGTTACTTAATTCTTATCTATCCAATGGGCTTCAGCTGAGAAGGCAGCTTTTATAATTAGAAATGAAGTATGTGGTAGCTTTGGTGCAGTTAATAGAATTATTTTTCATTGTGTCCTTGTGAAGTTTTGCAAGAAGCATGAACACAATGAATAGAGCAGCAAACACTTAGAAAGGATGGAAAACCTCTCTTGGACTTTTTCATGAATAGCAAACATCAAACATACTGATTTTTAAGGGTGTCTCCTTGTAAAATTTAGTGTTTATCACCAAATGTTGTTGCCAAAATGGGTGAATGAGGTTAGAGCATGGCTTTAGGAAACGGTCTGTGAAGTAAAAGGCTTTTTTAGCATCTGCTTCCATATTAATAAACAAGCAGGTGGTGGTTTATGGGTTAATCGCAAATCAGGCTAACAATACAGGTTCATCTTGCTGATGAATATATTCAGAGGTGGACTTTGGGCTATCCCACGAAAGTCGATAGCTTTTTGACTCTGGATCAAAGCAAAAAGGAAATTCACAGGTTATTTTGGGTACTTGCAGCATAATCCTTGTAACAAACAGAGAGGAAAATGTCTGGTCCCTTTTTCCAGATGTTACAAAAATAGCAGGTATAATACGGTGCAGTTCAAGAGGGAGCAGCAGTGCCCTGCGGAGCAGCTCGCCTCAAGGACAGGATGCTTTAGAAAATAATCCCGCTCTGTTCTTTAGCCCAGAAGGTGCAGAGAGCAGAGCTGCAGCGCCCAGATCACGTTCCCACGTTAGGAAGCCGAGCTGCTGGAGAAACTGCAGCTTGGGCAGCAGGATGCCCTGAATAGCAGCTCTGGGTACGTTCAGATGCTTTCGGGTAGAAAGGAAACATCTGGTGGTATCTGCTACCAATGCACCTGCAGAAATGCTCTGTCTGTTTAATTTTTGGCCTTTATTTTGTGCCCATTTCTGTAGCATCCCAAGACAGCTATAAGGATAAATCCCAGGTTAGTAGGTTTGCTTTCAAACTCCATGCAGTTTATCTGGAAAGTTCACCATAAGTGCATAATGGAAAGGAGTGGCAGCGAGGACTGAAGTATTAATTTTGATTTATTAAAGCTGACAGCAAATTTCCTATTTGTTTTCTATACCTAAGGGATAAATCTTGCTCTTTCTTGGCAGCTGCAGAAGGTTCATAAGCAGAATTTAGAGCTGTAAATGTTTCTGCTGCTTCTTAAAAGACATTTTATTCAGTGGATTTATAAACCAGACTGATGCCATAGTTTCAAACAAGCACTAGCGGTTTTCTGCATTCAAAGAAGAAAATAAAACATTCTGGGTAAGATGCCAGTGACTCCTTCAAGTATTTAAAGTAGCCAGAGGTTCTTGCAGAGAGGAGGGGGCCTGAGCTCTCTTTTTTAAGCTCTGGGGTGTTCCAGGCTGATAGCAGAGACTGGTAATTTGGGCTCTCAGTGTGGTCGCTACTGGAGGTCTCTTCCAGACTCTGGCTCTAAGACGGGAGCAGCAGGGTCACTTTGCCCGACTGACTCTGTTTCACTATCTACAAAATATGGATAATGATCCCAACCTGGTTATTTGAGCAGCTAAGATCGAGTGATGAAAGCACTGAATAACAGCTGGATTTTTAGTTTCAAGTGGACTGTGTTGAATCGTTGCCTTGACACGTGAGCTCACAGGGGTTTCTAGTCTGCCTCTCTCGGTGTCCTCGTGAGGCTCCTTTAGACTCCTGTGCTCAGGGATGGGGTGTTGCACGGAAACAGGGTGCCGTTCACAGGGGATTAGTAAAATACTGGGCTTTTCAGTGGGGGTTGGCAAAATCTGCCTGAACTTGTTTAAAAAAAAAAAAAGCTCTGATTTATCGAACTGAGGAAAGTGTTCTTTTCTGGTGTCTTGTCATTCTTTCATCTTGGAAAAAGAAGTAGATTTTTTTTTTTAATGTCTTTAGAGTGTGGTCTAGTATGCAGGAATAATCTGGGGGAAAAAAGGCTGCTTGATCCAGGTGCATTAAAAAAAAAAACAAGGGCATGAATGATTTGCCCCAGAAATGGTGGGAATGCAAAGGGGTTTGCATAAAAACATGCAGCTTCCCTGGAAATGTGTGTGTTTTGTGTTTTATAAAGAAAACAAGAAAACACCACATGCAATGCTATTGGACATACAGTGCATGCTTTTGGGCTGATTTAAGAAGTTATTTGCCAGATGAACTGTCTGCCTGTTCGTGAAATCTCTCCCTTGAGTCTACTGGAGTGGAAGTTTTCATGCGCACAGAGGAAATGACCGCCAGGAAATGGCCGCCTAGGCCGTCTACTTCCTAATCCCCTGTTTGGTTTTTGTGCAATAAAAACAAATAAAAGCCGCACTGAGCTTTTCGAATCCGTTTTGCTTTGCTTCTATGGTGGTTGTTCAGTGTGCAACATTGCAGCAGGCGGAGAGAAGGGAGAGGAAACGTTTGGCAGGCTGAGACGTGGTCATCACAAATGCAATCACATTCAAATGCACAAATGCAATCACATGCATCGCAAATGCAAGAAAAATCTTGAAGTTTATTCTATCCCTTTCAGTTCCACGGTAGATAAACTGAGTGTGGAGTTGCATTTGATTGAAGGCAGATTATAATTTGTCTGAAGTCATAATTCCAAGTAATTAACTTCCAAAAACATTTTTTAAAAAATGTCTTTTTATCTTGGGCTTTTTGTATATGATACATGAGCAGAATGGGTCGGTATATTCCAAGACGGGCAGTTTCATCCTTATATCTGGCTCTGTGCAACCAGCAGAGTGAGCAGCTCGCTCCTGTGCAAGGTCACTGCGCGTTTCACTGTGTGTTCCAGCGTTCTGCAGGATCATAAATGAAATTGTTTTATTGCTGAGAAGCCTCCCCCTTTGCAGCGAGCTTGGCAGCGTGAGTTTGTGTTCCTGCTTCTGGTGCTAAAGGCAGAGGTCTGGGGCAGGAGCCCGGCATCGGTGAGGCCCATGATAAAGGCAAAATTCATCCTTGTTGTAGCTCTTACGGCACCTCCCTGCATTTGATTGCAATGTTTGCTTTTTACTTCTGAGGGTGGTTTTTCAAGCCTGTGTCTCTTGGGTGAGTGGGGAAGAGTCTAAGTGTTCAGTGTAATAGCAGCTGAATTGGTCCTCTCATAAGCTCTTTATTTAGAACGCCATAGGCTGGACTCAAAACTTGGCAAATAAGGAGGATTTAAGCACCTAAATGGTGCCAAGACTAAAACTGCAATCCCCTAAGTGTCTCGCTCTACTGATGCCTGAAACTGGAGACTCCTCAGTTTATCGAGTGTCGTCTTGATGAACTTGGAAGCTTTTCAGTTGCCTGGAATTTGGCTTCTGTGGCTGCCCGATGTAATCTAAGCAGCCTTGCAGCTAATCCCTGCTGGGATCGAGATACTGAGCAATGAAGCATATTGGCCGAGGGCCTTGATCTGATAGATACTTTCAGAGAGAACCTTTTATGCAGCAGCAGGCCTGGGCTCCCTGTGAAACATCTGCCGAGCTGAAGGACCATGGCAAGGTCAGCTTGAACTGCGCCCAGGTGGAGAACTGAGCCTCTCTTTCCCCCTCCTGAGACCATCTCTGGGCTGTTGTTTCATGACAGACATCACTGCCACCACCAGTGTCAAAAAAGGATCGTCTTTTACAATAAGAGGTCAAGGTGCCTTTTTCCAGAAGATGATTCTGGGAGGATGGAGGTGGTAGAGCTCTGGAGGGGGCTCAGCAGTGTCCGTCACCTAATTTTAGGTAATTTCCATGCTCAATTGACTTGTGCTTTGCAAGCCTGTCGTGGATCTGCTGTATTTCTCATACTTGGCACAGGAAACTGGGCATCTACCAAAGGTTTCTGGGTTGTCCTGAGGATGCACGTGCACATTTTATATGTTTGATAGACTTTAATAGTAAGTGTGAAGTGTGATGCTCATCCCTGCCCCAGCTGTGCTGCGACTTGACCTATTTTATCTGAAGCAATCATTTGAAGTGGGTTTGTTCCTGCATATGTAAAGCACTGCTTTGAAGCACCAGAGTCATAAATGAGTGGCTGTGAATCCTTGCAACACCTCTTGGCGGGTATCTGAAATATTAATTCCACGTTATAAAAACAGGAAGGAAGGTACCTGCAGCACAGGGGAGGCTGAGATTGAGGGACCCCACAACCCTGTGCCCAGACCTTCAGAGTGACTCGGTGGGTGAAGCATGTATTTGATCTGATGATCAGTCTTTCTGAGAAGATGTTTGGCTTAGGGAAGCTCTTTCTCCTCGTGTTGGGTATACGCAGGTAGGTAACAGGAGGAGAGCAGCAGGGCTGCAAGCAGTAGCATCGTCCAGTGACTGGTGGTACCATTAAAAAAAGTTATTTTCAAGATGCTCCTTCCTGCACAAAACTAAGACTGTGAAAGTTATGATCTTTCCCCCTTAGCTTTTCTCCACGAGCTGTGTATGTGGCTGCTGTTTGCATTAAAAGAGCGGCAGTTTTTCCCATGTGGGGAGAACCCAGGCCGGGGACTGCTGCGCTCGGGTCTCACGTTGTTTGCTCTTTCCTAACAAGGCTTTGCTCTCTCTCTTCTAGGCAGCCATTTCTTCCATCGTAATTCTCTGTCTCCCCGAAGCCTGGTCTACGAGAGCGAGTTCTCCACGATGGAGCCTGCTTTGGACATGTATGACGAGAACAAGACCTGAAGGGAATCCGTGCTCCTTCTTGGCCCTTTTTGCGTTTTTTTCATTTCTCATTCCTATCGTTGTGTACTCTTTCCATGGATCTCCTTTGTCCGAAGAAGAGCTGCTTTTTCCAGAACACAAACCCGTCTTCTAGATGGCCAAGATGAAGACCAGCAGCGGTGGTTTCGGAGGGTGGCGTCTTTGAGCTGACGAGGCGTGCGCAAGCAAGCCTGTCGGATGGAAATTGCTGAGTAGCAGCATGGGGAGCTGCGTCGGTCCAGCCGAGGACACGGCGAGGCAGAGGAGGAGGCTTTACGGTGGGTTGTGCTGCACATACGTCTCTTACATAGGCTGCTTCCAATGTGATCAGTTGCCCGGGTGTTTGGGCATCGTCGGAAAGGGAATACGTTGCAGAGGAGATGGCAAGTGACTGGTCAAAGCACTCGATATCTCTCACTTAATCCATAACCTTACTGTGAAATATCCCCTTTGGAAAGGGACCTTTATAAGTGCGTTGAGTTTCCTACAGCCCATTTAACGCAGGCAGTAGCAAGCCAGTCTCATGTTCAAGCTGCGGAGAGGACCTGCATTTGCAGAAGGATTTCAAGGAAATTGAAGCTTCATTTCTTTCTCCATTTCCATGGAAGCAGGTGAGAAATGGCCTACACAGCAAATATCCTTGATCCATCCTTGTTCTCCAGACAAGCGAATCTCTTGCCATAGAGATGCTGCCTCCTTTACAGGACCAGCACTTGATCTCCCTTAAAATCATTAGACTCTCTGAAATATGCAAGAACCTAATTAGCTCTCTTTCTTGCTTTGCTTTTTTTTCTTAAACCACCAAATTTTTCACAGCGGTTTTTTCAAAGCCAGCATGTTGGCGTTACACAGAGAAGAAAAAAGGTAAGAAGCTTCTTGCCCCGTTCTCCCGTCGAGATCTGCAACACTTAAATAACCAACACGTTCCCTACGCCGTGTCCTTTCCCACTGACATCAATAACGTGAATGCAGAAAGCAGAAGAATAAAGGAAAGCAGCGACCGCTTTGACACTCAGCAGGGAAAATCAATTTTTACCGGCGTGTGACAAAAGCAGCAGGGAAACGAATATTTCGTTCAAGCTTTTGCAAGAGCAGCACTGGGATGGAAGGCAAGAGGGAGGACCTCAAGTATTCTTTTGGGAAGTCCACAGTGTTCCTCCCAATCAGCAGATGTGGAAAAGTGAGTGCTTTCTGCTCCACCTTTTCCTGCTGGACAGTGCATCGTTGTTTAATGAATGTTAAGATTTTCTCCATTGCAGTCTGAGTTACTGTAGATGTAGAAACGCATTTGTGTCCTTGTAATGTGAAACTGAACTTCAATCTCTATATAGAAATCTTGAGAAATCAGTAAGCCAAAAAAAGGAAGGTAAGACAGACTTTGCCATGTTTTATTTTGGATGGCTTTTGCTGCGAGTGGGGGAACTTCCCTTTGCTTTTCTTTTCTTTACATCATATAGCAGTTGTCTTGATGTGTGTAGCCTTTCCTGAAGTGTGTGGTTCAGCTGTGTCTTTAACACACAGATGTTTAAGATGTTTAAGAGGAAAAAAAAAAGAAACAAAGAAAAAAAAAAAAGAAACAACTCTGTAAAATGATGAGGAAATGATCCTCTTAGCAAAGCATGCTTTGACTTCTGTTGCTGCGCGTCGGCTTTATTTAATCCGATAATTCGGGAAGGGGTGGTGTGATGTGCAGAGAGGCTTCTCTCCTCGTGCCCGTGTTTACACTCACCAAATGCACTTTTTACTGCGATTCAGCTAACTCCAGAAAGCCGAGTTTCTAGAGCAAACCGAGACCCGGACTTTTCCAGAGCACGGTCTGAGCGCCGTGGTTTCTCCTGCAGAGCGCCGCGGATGCGAGACATCCCCACCGCGGATGGGAGCGGGACTGTTGGTGCCGTCGTTGCCCTTCCCGCAGCCCTGCGGCCCGGGGAGCTGCTGCACGGGGAGGCTCCGAGCGGGACCCGGCTCCATGCAGAGCCCGGACACGGCCCAAGCGCTGCCGGAGCCACCCTGCTTTTCCTGCAGCATCGCAGCATGTGGCCGCATGGGCTCCAAAAACGGGTAGACGCCCTGGAGAGAAATGATGGAGCTCAGCAGCTCTGCAGCGGGGCATCGCAGCAGCATCCCGCTCGGCAAAACCTCTCGCCAGTGTCTCCCATAAATCTCATTTGTGCCCCTGGGACCAGATACTCCCACGACATCACGTTTTATTCGGTTGCTTCTTTAACAGATCTGGGTTTCTTAGCTCTAGCTGGGCGCGCTTGCACCAGCAGCATATGGAGGTTGCAGAGAAAAGCTAGAAAACTAGTGGAAGGTAAGATATTAATAAGAGCCAAAACCCAAACCGATAAAATAATGAATAATGCCATTTATATGTTGTTAAATCTCCTGGTTTCCAACCTGACAGCCTGATTTTAAAACGGAGCAGGGGAGGCAGGTTTGCCTGTGACTTTCATGATAAGGATTTGGCACAGTCGCATGAAACCGGATTAATACATTGAATAAGCGAGCAGGGAGGCTCGCAGGGAGCCAACGCCGGCAGCTGACGCTTGGGATTTGGAAAATCCGGCAATGCTGGAAAAGTGGGAAGCTCGTTCCAACGGTGGGGCGCCGCGCGTGCCAGGACGAGCTCGCTCCTGGCGCGGATTTTCGGGGCTGTGCTGGTAAGGGGGAGCCTTCCCTTTTAAATATGCAGCAGGTATAAAACCGGGCAAAAAGGGTAAAAGCCCCATGAGCTTCGTTGCCGTTCGGCTGCGGTGAGGCCCTCGTGGCTGAGTCACTTCATAGACATAAAATCTACCGCGATCCCCCAAGAGCTGGAAGTGCCAGCAACCTGGGAAATCATTTTTAAGGTAAAAAAGATAATAATAATAAAGTGGTTTTACTAGAAAACATTGATTTTATGAACTCTACATACAAAAAAAAAAAAAAAAAAGCTTTTATCACAGTGTTTCCTTGTACTATTGAAACCCTGTCCTCCCACTTCTTTCCCCACCCTGAAGCTCCTATTTTATGAAAGTTTTGCATGTTCCTGTAAGACGTTTGTAAAAATCAAGGTTTGCTTGTTTTCTTAGAGGATAATCGCCAGTAAAAAAAACACACACACAAAAAAAAAAAAGCGGGCTTTATGTGTGCTTTATTAGCTGTGTCCCTGACATCATCGGTGTTAAATCTGACGCCCGTTGAGCCCCCCCCGAGGCCGCGCAGGTTGTTCTGTGCGGCGAGGTGGCAGCCTTGTCCCCTTGCTAAAATCTCATGGATGCTTTTGCCTGGGGCTGCGGAACCCCCCTTTCATTGCACCCGGAGCCAGGTGCTCCCAGTTGTTGGGCCACGCACATCTTATCCCCATCATTCCATAATCCCGCTGCTTCCCATGCAGCCGCAGCGCCCAGGCAGGTGCTCACCATCGTCTCCCATTGAACTTCATGGGTGAAACCTGAGCTTATTTTTTGCCCCTGTTTTTTAGCATCCATCCAGGGCCTGATTTTCTAACCCTGGCCACGCGGGGCAAGCGACATGCTATGACATCTCACACATGCATGATGCAGTTAAAATAGCCCCATGGTTTTTTGTTTGTTTATTTATTTATTTGCAGTTTGTGCCCTGCAATCCCCAGAGCGACTGCGCTTGCAAGGACTGCTCCCGTGCCGAGACGTGCCGGATTGCGCAGCATCCTGCGCCCGTCGTGTGCTTCCCGAGCGCCGGGCCGGTGCCGCACGCTGCGCACTGACACCTAGCGGGAAGGGTCCCGCAAATCCCTCCCGCTCCAGCCTGGAGCTGCTGCTGCTTCCCTGAGGCTGCTGCTTCCTCGCAGCCCAGGCAGCGGGTCCTTGCAGCAGCCGCTGTGCTCAGGTCCGTGGGATGGGAGCGAATCCTGCGAGCATCCCGATGCACGGCCCTCCTCGTGCACCCCTGCCTGAAAACTGCCCCTTCCCCCGGGAGTTTGGTACGAGCACGTTCTGCTGAGTGAAAATTGCATTTGCTTTTCCTTGCAATTTGGGGCTCCCTGGTTCCTGGGAGCACTGCTGCGTTCCCGGTGCTGCAGCACATGCAGGCAGCACCGCAGCCTCTCGCCGAGCCCACCCTTGCAGCCTGGGTATACCTCAGAATAAATGCATTCAACACCATATTGCAGGTAGGTGGTATAGGCCAGTGCATTAAGGTTTGCTAAGGTGATTACATCCATCAAAAGGAATTAAAAAGCGCACCGCGCGAGCACAGCCGCAACGTGAGCAAAGGCGAACAGCTCCCGGACCATCCGGGCGGCGGCCTCGAACCCGCGTCCACCGGGAGCCGAGAGGCGTCCGGGCCGCCAGGGGGCGCCGTGGCGGCGGCTCCGCGGCCCCGTGACCGTCGGTGCGCGGCGCGGCCCGGCCCGGTCGCTCCCCCCGCTTCCCTGCGCCGGCCTCGCCTGGGGGACGCCCGGCCGGGCCTGGGCTCCGCGCCGCCCGCCGCCGCCATGTGGCTGGGGCCCGAGGAGGTGCTGCTGGCCGGCGCGCTCTGGGTCACGGAGCGCGCCAACCCCTTCTTCCTGCTGCAGCGCCGGCGGGGACACGGCAAAGGGGGCGGCCTCAGCGGTGAGGGGCGCCCGCGGCGGGGACGGCGGGAAGGCGGCGGCGGGTCCCGGGCAGGCGGCGCAGGCCCCGCGCGGGGACCAGGCCGCGGCGAGGCCGCTCGGGACCGGCGGCCATGGCGCCTGAACGCCGCCGTTCGCGGTGCTCGCGCCGCGGCCCTGGGCACCCGAATCGCCTCGCAAACACCCGTGGCGCGGCTCTCCTCCTCGCGGTGCTCGGGGAGGCTTCGCTCGTTCGCGACGCTCTGTTTTACACGAGAACTCGCTGGAGTTTTTGTGCGTGGGAGCGCGCGGAACATCCCCGAAACATCCCTGGAAGCGGGGGCACCTGATGCTCTTCCCGAGGATCAAACCTTTAAACCCACCTGTGTTTAAGGGGCTGGAGCTTTGAGCCCGTGAGAAACGTCTCGCTCCAAGCCCACGCTGTCCAGGGAGCCCCGGCGTGTTGGTGGCCTCGTGTCCTCCCCGGGGAGCTCCGTGGCCACGCGTTGATGTTTGGAGTTGGCGTTTGGTCAGCGTTTGAGAGGCAGGAGAACGCGTGTCAAAAGGGGACACGCGAGATACCGCCCTGGGAAGCATCCAGGACAACGTGTAGCCTGTTCTCCGCCTGCAGCCGCGCGCAGGAAACCCGCGGCCGGAGCCGAGGCCGCTGCGCAGGACGCGCGTGTGGCCGAAGCCCGTGAGGGCTCCGAGCGGCCTGTGCACCAACACGGTGCTCCTCTGGAAGCGCCGATATCACCCGGCCGTTAGCACAGGCTGGCAGCCGGGAGAGGGAACGGGAGGAGACCCCAGGTTTCCTTCGAGTGGTGAAGGGGCTGCAGGGGACAATTGGCCTGGGCTTAACCAAAACCAAAACGTAGGCAGGAGAGCAAGATGGGAATTGGGCCTGGTCTCCTGAGCACCGGCCCGTGCTCCCTCCCCGAGCTCTCCTGTTAGAAAGCATTAAAAACGTCAGGGCGTTGCAAAATACACTTGTGCTACCGGTGTAATGCGTTATCTGGAGTGGCAGAGCAAGTATCATCCTAAATATTTGGATTAGCTAGTAAATAGACTTCACCGTAGAAATATATGGATTTGCTCTACAGAGTCTGGTGGCTGTCATTAGGCAGCTCTGGATGTACCCACCTTTTTAGTTAAGACTATAACTTCTTTTTTTTTTTTTATATAGCTTCACTTCTGCATTGTCAAGTTTTGGTTCTCTGCTTTCCTTCAGTCTTTAAAATCACTTTTAATAAGAGAAGGATGAAAACTCTAGAGACTTCATGTTACAGTTGTTTAGCTTTAGTGATGAAAGACCCTACAGTCTTATGGGAATATTGTCCATGCTGGGGACAAAGCTCTGATCTAAAGAACATTTTTTATGGTTTTCAGATAAAGTTAATTTGAAAGCTTCCCACTTTAGCTGCATCTTCAATGCACCCAGACCCTCCCATAGAAAAAATGCATTTTACTTCTATTATAGAACTCTTCTAGGAAGGCAGTGGGCTATAATGACATTTAGAAGACATTTAACTGCAATCTAAGCTTCATCAACAGCAGGATTGACTATCCCTAGTTTAAAGGTAGTTTTATCACCATGACTCCGTTTTCCAGAGCAGGGCACCTAATGCACCCTCAACATTTTCCCTTGTGTCGATATGGTATTTTTGCTTAACCCAGCTCCTTGATTTGCTATTGCATTGTATTAATTTCTGTACTTTTGCTTCCTAGGCCTCCTTGTGGGAACGCTGGACGTGGTTTTGGATTCCAGTGCCAGAGTTGCCCCGTACCGTATTCTGCACCAGACTCAGGACTCCCAAGTGTATTGGGCGGTGGCATGTGGTAGGTCTGGATGTGCCTGTCGTCAGGGTCTGCATTTGTGTTACCATAATGTCTGTTGTCTTCTAATTAGCACTTATCCCACTTAGAGATGTTCTGTGACTGCTCAGGAAACTTCCCAGGGCTTTTGGAGAGGCAAGTGTCTTGCTTCAGTGTTTGGTTGGGACAGCCCACGTGCCAAAAATGACAGAACTTCTCCAAAGTGTTCAAACTGGAGACTAGGAACCTTAGACCCTCCAAGAGCTTACATTTCCGTTACAAATTCTTTCTTCCAAGGAATATATGTTTGCAGGGTCAAAGTGAGATAAATCAGAGGCTAAACGTGGGATGACAGAGACTGCTGTGTTGTTGTGCACCCTTCTGATATCTGGTAGTGAATTTTGACTAAGGCTCTAGGTCTTACTGGTTGCTGAGGTATCTGCAGGCATTATTTATTATTTGGTATATATAAGAATCTCTGCTTCTCACTTTGTGGTTGGAAAGTAAAACCTGAACATGAAGTAATCATTTCCTAAACCCACAGATGTTGATGTCTTGTTTTCCCTGTTCCCATCTTGTCCCCAGGCAACCAACATAATATTCTGCCTTGCAGAGCTACTTACCTTCCGCAGGAGAGAAGTTCAGAAACTGCTCTGTGTTTCACAGAAACTCATTTTTCCTTTTGAGGAGAGAGGAGACAGAGAGGACAAAAGCAGGAAAATAAAATGGCAGGCAAGAAACCAAACAGAAGGAAGCAGAATGCTCAGTGGCTGTGTGTGATACAAATTTGAAGTTTTGTAATATCTGATGTTCAAGGAATGTGGTATATGTTTAGAATTTCAACGTATCCTCTATGTTTCAGTTACTTTTAAGTAGTTCAGTATGGATGGGACATACAGCAACTTTATGGAGTTCTGTACATTCTTAGACTAAAATATATATCTTTATATTCATCCAAAATATTTTTAACCATGTGCTCATCTGCTTTTAAAAGCAAAATATTGGTAAATTTGAAGTGATAAAAGCGTATATGGTTCTGCAGTTGAAAAATGCATAAAATGTATTTGAAGTTCATAGGTGTTCACAGGAAGTCTTCAATTGCTGAAGCTTGCCTTCTTTTAGACCAGTTTGTCTCCTGTCTCTCAGCAGAAAGTACAGCTCATGAAACCAACCAGAAAAGAGGGTTTATCCCCCTGCAACTGCTGCTGGACCTGTGCAATTAAGGCCAGAGCATCCTCTGGTACTCCAGTGCCCCTAAAAGAAGCCATTTAACATTATTCAAAATCATTTGTGCTTCCAAACATTGGCAAGTGGCTAGATTAGGCTTCAAATAAGCTTATACACAGAGGCCAAGGAAAAAATATTTGTTGTCTAATTCATTGACCAGTGCAGAATCTCAAATCCGTAGCCCTCTGAGAGGAGCAAACTCTTCTCTAGTTTTTGATCTAAGTCCTGAAGTTATTTTTTGCTTATGAAACCACAGAAGGGTTGTCTTTTTGTGTGTGGTTAGGTGTCCAACTGCAACTATGTGATGGCTGTGTCTTTGCTGAAGCTGCTGCTTAAGAAGGCCAGGTAGAATATGAGCTTTAGGGAACTGTTGGTGTAACATGATGCTGTTTTGTTTTCCTCATTAGCCACTCTGAAGGGTCTAATGTTCTCGCAGAGAAACCGAGTAATGGGAGGGATGCTGCTGCTAACTGGAAGTACTCCAGTTAACATTTTCAGATGTTCCATTGCTGTAATATGAAAATTCAGAAATTGAATACTGAAATTTGACAGAGTAAAAAACTTGCAAACGTCTTGAACTTGCATTTGAACAGTTTGACTTCTTTTGTTTCCGTTTAATGATATTCATTATCTTACTTAGAAAATTCTTTTTTTTTTTTCTTCCCCGTTTTTTTTCTGCCTTCAAGAGAATACAATGACAGCCTTTGGTAGAGAAAAAGAAGTCTTTTGTTCAAATTACTTCAGAAATCTGTATTTACTACAAGTCATTAGCTGAGACAACTTTCTATAGCTAAGTTCCTTAAATGGGTTGTACTGTGAAGCTTTTCCTTTGTTTCCTCTTGTGGGCTGCGTGGTTGAAGAAGACTTGAGTATAAAGTTTTGCTGAGATGTTTCTTTTTAAGAAGGCAAACAACATAGCCCCTGACATGTGACTGATTTGTTTTCTTTTTATTTTGAAACTGTCTACTTTCTGCTGACAGTTGCACATAGAAAATGGAACTTCTCCATAGGTATAAAAGAATTTTAGTTAGTCTGAAATTTCAAAGTTCTTCTAAGTTCATTATATTTATTCTAGAATACTGAGAAATTAAAAGAATGCTTCTTATCTGGAAGATAAGAATGCCTGTTGTCTGGAAAGAAAAAAATGTGCTGCATCCTGGCAAGTAGGATGATTTGTTGGTTGTAAGTTGATAATTTTCAGTGCCAATGGAGACATTTCATTAAAATTATAGTGTCAGGGTAAATAAAATATCCTTTACATTTGGTGTTTTTGTGTCCTGATTAACATTTTTCTATTTATTAGTTTCCTGCTGTGAACCCAGAGGGAGAAGAAGAAGAAAAGAAAAGCTTGTTCTAATTTCCTTTTTATTTGTTCTCCCCTTCCTTTTTCATCCCCTCAATTAGGATCATCTCGTAAAGAGATCACAAAGCATTGGGAATGGCTGGAGAATAACTTACTTCAGACTCTCTCCATCTTTGATAACGAAGAAGATATCACCACATTCGTGAAGGGCAAGATACATGTAAGGGACATGTTTCTCCGAAGGACTTCCAGATCCTGAAAAAGAATGGGGAGGTGATATTGAGGCTTTTCTTACCCTTGGGAGGGAGGGAGCAAGAGCTCCATAGCAGAACTTCGCTCTGCTCCCTTTTGAGGTGTATTTTCGTTGGGGGTTCATGTCTCATTATGGCCATCACACAGAGCAAATGATTATCAAAGAGCAGCCTGCGTAGACTGGTAATGCTTTGAAATGTGCTGCTTCTCTAAAATCCTTGCGGATTATACCCTTGAGGCAGAGAAAACGTTACATTTGGGTTGATCTAGCAACACATCTGAGAGCCAATTCTACAGTGTAAGCAATATATTGGTGCTGCTGTGCTCATGTAGAAGCCATCTAGGATGTAAAGGAATCGTGTTGAATTCAGATCCAGACAAGCATTTCTGCTTCTTGTACAGTTAGCTTGTACACTTCAGAATCACAGCCCACAGATTCTCCAGGGTAGAAACCTTTATCTACTGTTTTTTTTTTTTTTTAATGAAACAGTAACAGTTTGGGGCTGCAGTTCTTCATATACATTTGTTTGCAAAACCAATATATTCAGTGCACAAAGTAACCTGGATTTGAAAACTGTTTCAGGCCATTTGGGTCTTTCTCTAGAGAGATACATAATGTGGGCAGCTTGAAAAGAAAGGCCTCGGTTTGTGTACTGGTCTGGTCATGAATACAACCAGGCAGGTTCTTTTTTTTTCTGCATATTATTTGTTTAAATTGCCTCTTTAAGAAAATGGGAATGAGAATAAAACTTTACTGGTAAGAACTATACAATTGTCAATGTTTTGCTATGAACTCTGTTCTTATCGGAGATGTGTAACCAGAAGACCTCTGCAAGTGTTCATATTAAAAATTGCAGCTGCCTTCCTCCTCTGAGCTCCATACTGTTGCTGGGGAACTGAACAGTAACCGTTTTTTCCCCTCCCCGGGGTCTAGAACACCACAAATTGAGTGACTAGTTAACATAATACAGAGAAAAAGTAAGGTCAGTCGTGCATGTGACTCTGAGAAGTTTTCCCTTCCCAATACTCCTATCAGATTCTGTGCGTGTGTGTGCATGCTGGTGTGTGGGAGGGAAACGGAGATATTATGGTCATTTGTTTTTCCTTCTGGCCAGTCAAGATCTGACAGACTGCAGAGTTCCTGGCAGATGATCCTCTTCCTGTTGAAGCCTAGTCACAAGTGAGAGGAGACTCCAGATTTCCCTTCAGGGCACACAGAGTGTTACTAGGCCTGCTGTGAGAAACTCAGTTAATTGTTAAACATGAGCACTAGCTGCTTGTGTTCAGGAGCAGACCCACCAGCAGCCACCCAGACCCTCTCACTGCCCTTTCTAGATGTCTTCACAGTTTCTTTAACTTGACAGAAGAAATGATAACTGCTATGACACATTTCTTCTTTTTCTCTTCAGGTTTGCATCTGTGACCTTTTCCTGTGTATTTTTTCTGTCAACAGACGTGTTCCCTTCCATTTCCTCTCTCTCACGTTCTTACAGGGAATTATCGCCGAAGAGAACAAGAATCAGCAGCCTCAGAGTGAAGAGGATCCAGGTAAATTCAAAGAGGCTGAACTGAAGATGCGGAAGCAGTTTGGGATGCCTGAGGTGGAGAAGTTGGTCAATTACTATTCTTGCAGCTACTGGAAGGGACGTGTACCCAGGCAGGGCTGGCTGTACCTCACTGTCAATCACCTCTGTTTCTACTCCTTCCTGCTAGGCAAAGAGGGTGAGTTAACAGCCACTTTCACGCATCTATTTGATGTGGTTGATCTTTCATGTGAACTTTTAAGCTATTTGTTTTCTTCCCCTTGAGGAATCCTTTGAGCTCCAGTGTATAATCCATAGATCAATCATTGCACTCCTTATTTAGCTTCCTTGAGATTCTTTGAAAAATCTTGAAAAGCACTTATGTTACTTGCAAGTCAAAGCTGTCTCTTCAGATTTTGATACTCAAGGCACTTCAGTGAAACTTAGACTAAATGTCTGAGTTATTTTTGAAAATGTGGCTGAGAAACACAAGTTATGCATGTACACCTGAAAGTTTTACTTCTCCTACATTAAAGAATGAAGCAATGTTCTGGTTTCAGTGTTTGTTTGGGACACACTTTCCTAGTACTTTCAAAACCTGGGCTGTTTGGTCCAAAGTTAACTTGCTGGAAAGATGGAATAAAAATTTGGGTCAGTGTAGCTGGAAGCATCTACTAGCTGGGAGATATTCCATTTGGATCTGCATTATTTCTAGCCTAGTTAGTCCAAAGATTGTTTCCAAGTATTTCTGGAGAGCCCAGTAAAAGTATGAAGAAAATAATTGTTCTTGTGTGAGAGGGAAAAATAGTGCTACTTTACTTACTGTTTGGGCTTCTGTTATGATCGCTTTTTTTTTTTTTTTTTTGCCTCAAATTTAGTGGCATTTTCTTTATACTTTTTTTCCAGTGACTTTGGTGATCCAGTGGGTGGATGTAACCCAGCTAGAAAAAAATGCTACACTGTTGTTCCCTGAGTGCATTAAAGTGAGCACAAGAGACAGTGAGCTATATTTTTCCATGTTCCTCAATATCAACGAGACCTTCAAGCTGATGGAGCAGCTGGCAAACATTGCTATGCGGCAGCTGTTGGATAACGAGAGCTTCCTAGAGGACAAGTCCCTCCCGAAGCCCAGGAAGCCTCTGAAGAACATCTCTGCACTAAAAAGGTGTGTGTCTCAAGCAGTGAAACAGATGAGTGAGAAGAAAGGGTGTTAATAATCAATCTGCATTATTATGTAATGTTTACATAATTCCCAGTTGTCCCCTCAACATTGGGGCTCACAGGGTTTGCATAGCTTATTTCAATCATTAATCCTCTGCCTATTTTTTTTTTTTTCTTTTTTTCCAAAGTGGTATTTAATTCACGTATGCCCTCTTGTCTAGCTCATGCATGATGATGTGCCCTGAGATGCCCAAGGGTATTTTCAGGCAGAAACTCTTGAAAATCTTGTAAAAAAAAGTCAGATTCAAGTCAGAATTAAACTGCCTGTGGGGTCTGCTCTTTATCTTTGCCAGGGACCTAGATGCTCGGGCCAAAAATGAATGCTACCGTGCCACCTTCCGGCTGCCCAAGGATGAGTGCCTAGATGGACACACAGACTGTACCTTGTGGACACCATTCAACAAGATGCACATTCCTGGCCAGATGTTCGTTTCCAACAACTACATCTGCTTTGCCAGTAAGGCAGAGGAGGCCTGTCATCTCATCATTCCTCTCAGAGAGGTGGGGATCTCTTAGCTCTGTACTGAGACCACAGTCCTTTCTTATCTTTTATGTGTTTCTAGCCTTTGTGTGTTACTTTACCAAGGATGGAGAATCTGCTAGGTATTAATGGCCTTGTATCTGTCTTCTAGGTGACAATTGTTGAGAAAGCAGATAGTTCCAGTGTCTTGCCAAGCCCACTGTCCATCAGCACCAGAAGTAAAATGACTTTCTTCTTTGCCAATCTGAGGGACCGAGATTTCTTGGTGCAGAGAATCTCTGATTTCTTGCAGAGAACACCATCCAAGAAACCCTGTGGCAGCGACAGGGAATGGAAGTGGAATTTCGGTGATCCTGGTTGTGAGGTACTAAGAAAAGAGCTAGGAGGAGCATTTGGCCCTTTCTCAAAACTGTGCTCCTTACAGTGTGTGTGCCGGCAAATGATGTCTCTTTGATGGACCGTTAACAGAGGATGGAGACTGGCAGAGCCTGTTCGCTTTGTGTCTCGTTCTGTTACTCATTAGCTCAGTTGCTTTGCCATTCTTCCCTAGAGGGTAGTTTGCATAGTGAAATCATTGCTTAAGTTTGCCTACAGCCTTGAACTGGCTTGGTTCACTGCTAATAGTAGCATAAGTTGTCTTGAAAGTCAGTGAAAGATTTAAGCACTAATTCTTGAATGATATGAATAAAAAAAAAATCAAGGAAGAGCCAAAATTGTTGCTATCTCTCCTCTACTAACTGCATCCAACCTGGCTTTTGGGGGATATGTTCTGTATGATTAATTGTGCAACTCTAGCAATGCGTTACATTTTTTATCACAGTAAATATCTGTGTCCTCCAGGAAGTGCCAGAGCTGCCTTCCAGCAGCCCGCTTGCCCTTAGCCCTTCGTCTGCTCTCAACAGTCGGCCCGTCAACTTCTGTGCAGGGGAAGTGCCAACAGCCTCCCAGGGGCTACTCAAACTCTTCAGAAGAAATTCCGAGGAGCTCTTGGGACCCAAGGGGGTAAGTAATAGTTTAACTTAAAGCAATTAATGATAATAGTTTGAAATAGGTAGCAGACTTCCTGCCTTACTCTAAGGCTCTTAAAATGCATTTTCCTAATGGCTCCTTTCACTCCTGTAGTATCACTGCTGTGTCTGGCACAGTGAGAGAGCTGTGTAGGTGTAACCTGAACATCAGCTTACTCTATCAGCAAAGGGATACCTGAGATAGTTGAGCTGAGAAATTTGTATTGCTGTTCTTCTGGGATGTAAATTCATGTCTGTGAAGAACTGCTTTTCTTTATCAAAGAAAGGAACTAGTATCTCTTCATCCTTAGATAAAAATCATTTGAGACTATGGTTCTGCTTGTATTTATGAAGAGATTGGTGAAGTGTGATGTCATTGCACAGTCCATGTTACCCTTTAAAACTTAAACTGGTGTAGATTAGCATACATCCTTTTATGCAGTAGGAAGCAAAAAGCCCTTACATGTCACAGTGCATTTCTTTCTAAGAATAGGCCAGAGTACTCTGAAACCACCTGTCCTACAAACATAAAAATATTTTAATCTCCTAAAATATATTTATTCCTGTGAAGGCAAAGGAGAAGATGAAGGAAGAGTCTTGGAACATTCATTTCTTTGAATATGGGCGAGGGATGTGTATGTATCGCACAGCCAAGACTAGGGAGCTGGTGCAAAAAGGAATCCCAGAGAACCTTCGTGGAGAGCTGTGGCTGCTTTTCTCAGGTGGGATATTGCACTGGATACTTCAGCAGCTAAAACTATTAAGCTTTCTGCACTTCTCAGGGGAGAAGATATAAAGCAGAGCATATTTCAGAAGAGAAAGTTAATTCAGTCTGAATGTGCTTCAAGGAACTTATACACAAAAGTGCAGTGATCATTTTTCTGAGATGACCTATTTATGAGAGCAGCTATTTGGCCTTCCTTGCCTGGATTTCTGTACTTGGGACCTACACTGTAACCTGATGATTTAACAGTGATTTTGTTCCTACACTTTCATATCTCCTTGTAATTGTTGAGTTTGTATAGTGCTTCCTGACTGCCTCTTTGGTGAAACTGGGCAGAAAGTCTGCATTCTGTTGCTCAAGAAGTGAAACTGTATTTGTCATCACAGGTGCTTGGAATGAGATGGTCACACATCCCGGATATTATGCAGATCTTGTGGAAAAGTCAATGGGAAAATACAATCTTGCTACGGAGGAAATTGAGAGAGATCTGCACCGTTCCATGCCAGAACATCCTGCATTCCAGAATGAGCTGGGAATTGCTGCTCTCCGGAGAGTCTTAACAGCTTATGCATTCAGAAATCCAACAATTGGGTACTGCCAGGTGAGAAAGTAATCTTAGACTGGTAAGTTCTACACTGCAGCTGTGCTTAACTTGGACCTTTTCAGCGTTTTTTTGCTGAGTTTAAGCTTTTCCTCCATGCTGCCCATATGACATAAGAGTCTGAAAGAGGTGACATTGTGAGATCTTAATATATCTTTAAATATATCTTGCATGTTTCTGTTAGGAGTCATGGCACAATCCTGTGCTGATTTTCTTTGTTATTGCTTCCCTAGTTTAACAAAAAAAAAAACCCACTTTTTTTTTAAATATGAACAAGCAAATTGAATATATTATGATACACACAGTCAATATATTGAAATGAATCCAGTTATGGACTTGTGAGACAACTCAGTAGAAATTCAGATTTGTTTTCTGTATTCTGCTATTAAACATTCTCATTCTGTTTTTCCATTATGATGAAATTATTGCACAGCTTTTTATGAAAACACTGAAAATAAATATAATCAGATTAATGAAAGTGCTTGACCAGAGGTAGTCATGTTATTTACTGTCTGCTCAAACTGAGGAACAGAAAGAGGAAGGTGGACTGACTCAAGGTCACCAAGTGACTCATATACCAGTAACAGCTGGAAATAGATCTGCCTGTCACTCCCAGAGGAATATAGAGTTGTATTCGTGCTTTTTAAGTTTAGCAGTTATAAAATGTGAGGACTTTCATATTTCTCTCCTCCATCTGCATATTGAACTCTGCTGGCTCGTAGGCCATGAACATTGTTACGTCGGTGCTGTTGCTGTACTGCAATGAGGAAGAGGCTTTCTGGCTCCTAGTGGCTTTATGTGAGAGGATGTTGCCAGATTACTACAACACAAGAGTAGTGGGTGAGTCTGTGTCCAGTTCTTTCTGGAGCCTGAATTTTCAACTGCAGTTCCACCAGCATCTCTTAGGAATGTTTTGTTTCCTCAGAATAAATTAAATGTGATGCATGATTTATTTGGGTACCACAGTACCACGGTACCAAGAAATCTGAGCTCTCCCCCTGTTGTTGTTTCTTCTTCCAGGTGCATTAGTGGACCAAGGCATCTTTGAAGAACTTACACGGGAGCATCTCCCACAGCTGTCAGAAAAGATGCAGGACCTGGGAGTGATTTCCACCATATCTCTTTCCTGGTTTCTCACTCTCTTTCTCAGTGTCATGCCCTTTGAGAGTGCAGTGGTCATTGTTGACTGTTTTTTCTATGAGGGCATCAAGTTTATCTTGCAAGTGTCTCTGGCCATCCTTGATGCCAACATGGAGAAGCTGCTGCAGTGTTGTGATGAAGGTGAAGCCATGACTATTCTGGGCAGGTACCATTCATTGCTCTTACTTATAAGTAACTAAATGATAATGACGATAATGACACCCTTTTTAATTGTCCTTTTTTTCCACCTAATAAAAGAGACTCTCTCAGTGTTTTCCAATTTCCATTACATAGCAGATCATAGGTATCATTTTAGGAGGAAATGCTTTTTTTGTTATTAAGCACTTTTTTTTTCACCTGTGTAGATTAATAGTGGAAAGGAATTGGGAATGCTTAGGATGTTCTTTTCCTTGACACTAACCCCAGAGTCCTGTGTCTGTTCTTTTCACTGCAGGTATCTGGACAACGTGGTTAACAAACAGAGCGTCTCTCCACCTATTCCCCACTTGCACGCCTTGCTGACCAGTGGGGATGATCCACCACTTGAAATAGACATCTTTGAGCTCATCAAAACCTCCTATGAGGTCAGGTTCTGGCTTAGTTTTTAGTGTTTTTTGCCTCATAAGGCCCAGTTTTGTCCTCCTCGTGCAGTCAGGACAGGGGTGAATGGGAAATAGGGCACAACTTTTATTCTCGTGTTTTTCCCACTGAAAAAAGATTTCAGGTGGATTTAGATCATCTCCGAGAGGACATTGCACTTGCTAAAGAGCGTGTGTTTGAATAGTGGATGTTCTATCTATAGCCGATGGTGCTGACCTGGTCTCCTCCTTTTCTTGTAGAAATTTAGCAATCTGAAGGCAGATGACATTGAACAAATGCGTTTTAAACAAAGATTGAAAGTGATCCAGTCTCTGGAGGATACAGCCAAGAAGAGTGTGGTATGTGACTCCCAGATTAAATGAACTGCCAAATGGCATATTAAATATAACATGTTTTGCTATAAGCATTTAGGAAGATTGCCCTGTAGCAAAGCGAGTTTAGAAGTGATTTAAAGAATTGCAGATAATGTGAAAAATGGATTCATGGATTTTCAGTTTTCTTCTTAATGTAATTCTTGTTAATCTAATAAAATGGATCAAAGTGATAGGGCATGAATAAATGAGGTATTTGGCATGGAAGAAAATAAAAATTGCTTGCAAGCTTTGCAATATTCTGTATTTCTGGCAGTCTGTTTTACTGCTCACCTGCAGTCTTTGGCGGATAATTACTTTCCTCCCATTTAGAGAGTTTTCTGCAATATTGAGGTATTTTGTAGGTGGGACTGGGGCCAAAGAAGCCTATCAACATCTATTATAACTATCTCATATCCTAAGTGGAGAACCTCATCTAACTGTTTCTTTCACTCCCATTTTTCAATGCATCTGCAAAGATAAAAATAAAAAGGTGGGCCAACATATTGTTCTTATGCCTGCAAAAACAGGAAATAAGCTCAGTAATTTTTATTAGCTGTTCTAAATGTCAGCAGTTTCTGCTTGACCAGAAACTGTCTTCCTGACCTATAATCCATAGCAACTGGAGGTATCAGAATGCCTGCATTTTCTCTCTTCTCCTGTGTCACATCTGTTTGCATTTGTTTTTTTCTCTGCTATGTTACAGTGGTTTTTCAGTAAGCCATATTTAATTTGTCAGGCTTTGGAATAAATTGTTCACTCTAATTTTCTCCCGAACTACAGGTCCGAGCTGTGTCCAGTGACATTGGCTTCTCTATGGAGGAATTAGAAGAGCTGTATGTAGTGTTCAAGGTAAGAAGCTAGAGCTGGTTAAGATGCATTCTGACACAAAGAGAACAAATACCAGAATGTGACAAAAAGGAAATAATGACTCTGTTTCAGTTCGTAATTCAGTGGATCAAAACCAAATGTAGGTCTGTGCTACATGTGATATAAATGAGATTAACTCTAGTATCTGATTTTTATTTTTGGCAAAGATGACCAAAACGTGGTCACAGCTTTTGAATGATGCTTGTTTAGGAAAAGATCCTGGAGATAGTGGAAAGGAATGCGTAGCACTTAGAATGAGAAGCTAGGATCAAACACACTTTAGTTTTTATTTTTAAGTTTGCTGCTGACTTGTTCTGTAATTATGACAAAAATACTTAAGACTTTTGCCTCTATTTCCCAGCAGAGGTTTTTTAAAAAGATATTACTAAGCAGCTTTTACCAAAGTCACTGTAAACTCAGTTGCATTGTGCTGTAGAATCAGCGAGAGGAGTTTAGTTCCAAACCTTGCACATACCTTTTGCAGTAAAGCTTCTGAGTTTCATTTTGCTGAGATCCAGTATTTTTGTATTTTTCCCATAAAGTTATTTTTTCATGATTTCTGTGAAATCCCTCTCTCTCTCTTCATTTCATATTATTTTGTAGTGAAGTAACACTATTAATACTGTAGAGATAAACAGTGTGTCCTGAAATGTTTTCTCTCTGCCTGCTCTGTTTTTGGAGGAGTTACAACAAAGGCTCTGCTCTTGGAGGTTGTTGTGCTATATCTATAATATAATGTGCTAACCTGACCTATTAACCCTTTCCCTCCAAAGGCCAAGTATCTGATGAGCTGTTACTGGGGAAATAATCGTGCTGCAGCTGCCCGTCGAGATCAGAGCCTGCCCTACCTGGAGCAGTATCGCATAGACATGGAGCAGTTCAAAGACCTGTTCATCAGTTTGACGCCCTGGTCCTGTGGCACACATACACCAGTATTAGGAGGGCGAATGTTCCGGCTTCTGGATGAAAACAGGGATTCTCTCATCAACTTCAAGGAATTTGTGACAGGGATGAGTAAGTGGTGTTTCTGGAGATAGTGGAATATCGCAATGCATGTTTCTGTCCTTTTCCAAAGACAGAACAATGCAGTTTTGCTGTGGATTTCCTTACTGCTTCTGCACAGATCTGTGTGCAGTTAGTGTTTCCTCACAGTGTGGAAACTCAGTCTGTTTTAAGCCCGTGGGCAGAGGGTGATTCTTTATCTTAGGTGCTGTTTTTCTTATCCTTTTGTTTCTTGCTCATAGGTGGGATGTATCATGGTGACCTCACTGAAAAACTCAAAGTACTTTACAAACTGCATCTGCCTCCCGGTGAGTGACTGATTCTGGCTTCTGCTACAACTGATCCTGGTCTGTGCTGGCATGCAATTAAAAAGGGATGCTTTATGAATTTTGCTAATGAAGTTGGTGATGCTGCAGTTCAGTTAACTCAGAGACCTCTCATCTCTTTCTCTGTACGTACAGCTCTGAGTCCAGAGGAGACCGAATCTGCTTTGGAGGCCACAAGTTACTTCACAGAGGATGTTACAACAGAAGGTAATACAGCACTTGCTGCCCCTACCTCTCAGTTTAGGGAGCAGCTGCAGCACAAATCCGTGTGCTTTGAAGGGTCATGTCACTAGGCATGATCTCCTGTTCGCTGCATGTGAAGATTTGCCATTTTGTTTGGGTTGGCCTTTTTCATTGCACGATGGGAGAGAAGTTTGGAGGTGAAGCTACTCAGCATGTCTTTGATGCAGCACACAGCATGCTCTGAAGCACAGTCACAGGCTGCTGAGGAGGAGCAGTGTGTGCTGTGTCTGCTTTTATCAGCCCCATCCCCATCTTGATTTGGGGTTTTCATGCAAGTCTCATTGTCTCTTTTCTTGTTTTTGTTTCCTCCTTTGTGTCTGTCTCTATATCACCCTTTCTTCTGTTCTGTCTGGGATATTGTCCCCTCAGCCCCCTTTTCTGCTGCTCCGGTATCTCCTTTTGTCTCAGAGCTGGATTTCTGCCTGCACTGTGAGTCTCAAGGTCAGTCTCTAGTTATGTGCACACACTGAGCTCTGCCATAAGGCTGATACTATCTGCCAGCACCAATGCACTATTGAAATTACTGTGAATTAATTGCCACTGCTCCTATCTCCTAATACTCCCTCTGTAAGCAAAACACAATAAGCAATTAAACATCTTTCAGTGCGGGGTTTATTCTACCTACTATGTTTTAACCTTGGTATAAATAGGTTTTGTCCAGCCTCCCTTAGGAGGAGTCACACAAGGGACTGGAAAAACTGTGCTCAGAGCAGAGTGTGCAAGAATTTAGGCTCGCTGGTCCAGGCAGATGGTTGTCGTGTTATCATTATGCCTCCTCCACAGTCTTCTAATTGAACAAAGCAAAAGTAAACAAAACATGCTATTCCTCTGTAAAAATGTCAGTAGACTTTAATATACTACATTTGTTAAAATATGTTCTTAGATTTGTCAAATAGCAGAAGGTCAAAATGTCATTTGTGCTAAATGTGTGGTCAAATTAGGTTAATGTTCCCAAAACCTGTGTGAATAAACATGGGGGATACTTGCTCTGTTTGATGCTAGATTGTGAAATTAGCAGTCTGAGATGAGCCAAGACTTCATATAATCAAGTGGCAATATAGGGAGTCTGAATTGAAATTCCTAAAGTTAGAGACTGCAGATAGCTCCCAAAATGTCAGCTCAGTTGAAGAATAATGATGAGCACAGATATTTGTTGGCTATCCTTGTGTCACAGGCCTGACTTGGTGCAATGCCAAACCTCGTGGGGTTTTTTTTTTTTTTTTGCTTTGTTATTTTTAATTTTTATCTCATTTTCGGCTTGCTGATCTCTGTGTTCAAGTGATCACATTGTTTAGTTGTCTTTTATGTCTGTGCTTCAACCTTTCTCTTAAGTGTTGTGCCTTCTGCCAACTTTTATTTCACCCACCTGTTCAGATTGGCTCTTTCTAGTTTAGTCTCTTGCTTCCATCAGTCTCTTGCTTCCATCCTGTCCCATTCTTTTCTCCAAACATAATGAGGGAGTGTGAGACTAGCTTCTGTTTAATATATTCAGAAGTTTTTCTTTGGGCCTGAATTGTCTTATGTTCTCAATGTGTTTTATTGCTGAAAACTGAATATTAAAGTTTCTGCTATAATTCCTTCTTTTCTTTTAGAAACACAGGAAGACAAAGGAAGGAAGAATGACAGCTGCCAAGAAAAAGGTAATTTCATAATCATATATAGATGTGGCTTTTTTCAACACATTTTAGTCTTGTCTCTCTCATCACATCAATTCATTGGCCCTCTCTATATCTAAGAAATCTTTGAAAGTTTCCCTCGTGAACAAAGATACAGGGGATGTCAGCTAGGAAAAGGGTCTCTCTCATACCTTTACAGCTCTGTCTCTTTCACATACCAAAGCATTAACTTGCCAAACATGATTTTCAAATGTTACCAACTAAGAGATTTCATTTATGAGAAGCTGAGCTGATGTAGTAGTGTAAAAAAAGAAATTCACAACTGAATCATACCAGATAAATTAGCAGAAAGCAACACAGCCTTCTTCACAGATCTTCTCCTAAATTGTCATTAAAGCTTGCTTCCAGGACTATGCTTTTTTCTAACATGGGATTCACATTTTAATACTGAAACCACTAACCACCTAATTGGCCTTATCTTGCAGAAGAGAAAGGTACTAGTCCACAGGACTATCGGTACTACCTAAGAATGTGGGCCAAAGAAAAGGAGTCCAGGAAAGAAACCATCAAAGATCTTCCCAAAATGAGCCAGGTAAGAAGTGAAAGATTTCCAGCTAGACGACTTAGAGCTTACTGGAGAACTCAGTAGTGTGTAGCCACCATTGCACCTGCACGCTCAGTCCTTGCCAGGCATCTCCCCTGCTGTACTGGTTTGGTGAGTTTTAGTAGTGTCTGGTTCCACACTTCTGTGTTGTATTCCTCAGTGGATGTGTATCTGGCTGTCAAACTGCATTGTTTCTACTAGACAAATTCTCTGCCTCCCAGACTACCTTTTCCTGAAAGAACTGTGATCTACGTTTTCCCTCGGGAGCAGTGTTTTAAATATCCCATCAGTGCTGTAAAGTTGCCCGGCTTTTTTGTTTGTGCATTGTCTCCAGTTACAGTTATCTTGTGAAGAGGGAACAATGTGGTTACAGATCACATGGGTGACTAGTGCTGTCTTTTCTGTTTCTAATTTCTGCTTTGGGTGCTCATTATCCCAGCTTGGCCGTGCTTAGAAGCTGGACAGAGCAGCAGGACAGAAGTTAAGCTGTGTGATTTTGCAGATGTGAATCTGTTAGTGTTCTGGGTGTCAGTCAGAACAAAAAAACAACAACCACTCCAGTATCACATTGCCATCTGGGTCTCAATTTACCTTCTGCCATAGAATTTGAACTGTTCTGACTCGGTAAAATAAGTTGCTGCTTGGTGGGGAGGCAAAGTTGTTGAGGAGGCAAATAAACAAGGAGCTGGCCAAGATACGCGTGTTGCTTCATCCACTGCTGTAACTTTGTTGTGCAGCCTGAAGTTTGATTTTTGCTCTTTGCCTTTCAAAGGAACAGTTCATAGAGTTATGCAAGACTCTCTACAACATGTTCAGCGAGGACCCGGTGGAGCAAGAGCTGTACCATGCAATTGCCACTGTAGCCAGTCTCCTCCTGCGCATCGGGGAGGTTGGAAAAAAATTCTCCAACCGGCCCGTGAAGAAGTCTGAAGAGAACAAAACTCACAATAGCCAAGATCCTGTGAGTGAAGAGGAGTCACCAACATCTGAACAAAGCCAGAATTCAGCAGTGGAGCAGCAACCCCAAGCTGACTGTGAGGACAAAACCCCTGGCGATGCTCAACCTGGAAAAACTCAGCAGGAAAACCAAACTCTGGGAGATGGGGCAGGGGAAGGACAAGGCTCTCCCTTACAGCTGCTATCAGATGATGAAACCAAAGATGATATGTCCATGTCTTCCTACTCCATGGTCAGCACAGGCTCCTTGCAGTGTGAAGACATTGCCGATGACACAGTCCTGGTGGGTTGCGAAGGCGGAGGGTCAGCTGCCAGGTATGGCAGTACCATTGATACAGACTGGTCCATCTCCTTCGAGCAGATCTTAGCATCCATGCTGACAGAGACAGCCCTTGTAAACTACTTTGAGAAAAAGGTTGATATTCTCCAGAAGATCAAAGATCAAAAGAGAGTGGAGAGGCAGTTCAGTTCCTCCAGCGACTATGAACTGTCCTCTGTGACAGGGTGAGCTCCAGTTAACAGGAATTGTCTTGTGAGATAAAGCAGGGAGGTAACATGGCAGATGGCAGGTTTGATGGACTGGTATTTTGTGATATTTTTTTGTTGTTTAATCAGAGACCAGTAACTACACAATTACAATAGATTCCAGTGGATAAGGGGCTTGCGACAGTGACTGTTTTGTGTAGGTGCTTTTTTGGCTACTCTGGCTGAAAGCATTAGGTTACCTTCTCAAGAGCTGTTAGAACCTAATAGCCCCTGACATATAGAATTACCACCATGAATTATGCATGTCTGCCTTTTGCTGTCTTTCTTTTTAATGAAGTTTTATTTCAGACAGTGACTGTTCCTTGCCTGCCCTTGTTTGCTGTAGGTTCCTGCAGAGCAGATGCAGCCTGGCTTGAAACCATATTCCCTTTTGGCTGCTGCTCTGCGAGCTCACGCAGCGTGTGCGAGTGCTGTAGGACCCTGGCCCATGACTGGTCTGGTTCAGTTCCTCAGTGCTGTTCTGTGACTCAGCAGCTACAGTGCAGATGTGCCCCCCTGGTCCCCACAACGTGACATCCAAACACAGGAGTGTCGCAGATCTGCAGGTTTCTTGCACATACGGTTCAGCATTGTCATAGTCTGCGAGCACTTTTTTTCTCTGCCAACATTCAGGAGAGTTTTCAGGCACACCTTGTTTTATAGCTTTTGCTTTTCTAACTCTTTGGAAGCTGTTTTTTTTTTTTTTTTTTTTTTTAACAGTTTGTTTGTTTGTCAGGGAAGCCACAAGCTCCTTGACTCCAGAAGTAACATGAGGTCAATCCATATGGGGAGTAATGAGGGGTGCAGTTTTGAGGCAGACCTCTAAGAATGCTCTGATCAGTCAGATACCAATATACATAGTCAGATACCAATGTATGTATCTAGATCTCCAGAGCCCTCAGCAGTCAACCCAGGCAGTGTTTGGGGCAGCAGGGTTTTTGCAGGTGTGTTGTGCCGCCTGTTGAGCGTTTCCCAATGCCCTTGTACAAAGCGTCTGGCAACGGACATTATCTTGGAAGCTCCTACACCGCGGTGGGTATTGACACCTCCAGAGGAAGAACTCAAAGCAGCCTCTGCCGTCAGCCCGTTGTGGAAAACCTGGGCAGACCAGACCTCTCTCCAGTGCTTCCTCCCAAGAGATGCAACAACTGGGAGCGACTCCTGGCCAGCCCAAGCCCAGGAGCGGCCGCGCGGGGGCCGGTGCTGCCGGGGGCCGCCGCGAGGGCCCGGGGACGGCAGCGGGGCCGGGGGCCGCCCGCCACCCTTCCCACATAACACTATCCGTGTGCTGCTCCGCGTTAACCCCGCTCCGTGCCCGCCTCTCCGCGTGTTCACCGCTGGCTGCGTGTTCCTTACTCCCCTGCCTCCGCTGCCGCCTGTCGCTGGAGAGCAGCCCTCGGTAAAACTGCTTTTACTAACTGACGCGGTAATTTATTGTAATTTTTTTAAAGTACAAATAATACATGTGATTTTACACTGTCTGTCGGATCTGTCATGTATTCAATAAACGAACCCCAGTCCTCTAGGCAGCCGCGCCTGGCCGTTATTTCCCCGAGCGCTCGTGTCCCCCGCTCCCTGTCCCTGGTTCCCGCTCCCTGTCCCTGCCGTTATTGAGGAGCCCCCAGGGTGTCCCCAGGCTCCCTTGTCCCCCTGTGCTCCCTCACGAGGGCAGGGCAGGCCTCAAGAGCTTCTCCTCCTGCCGAAAGGCGGCTTTTACCCCTATTAATAAAGATTTAAGCCACCGCTCGAGCCTTTTTAATGTCATTTTTTATCTATGTTTAATGGCGGGSGGGGGGGGGGGGGGGGGGGGTGTCAGTGGGTCACGCCCGGAGGCGGCGCGGGGCGCGGCTCCCTGCGCACGCGCGCGCGGGCGGGAGGGTCACGTGGCCGGAAGGCGCGCGTTGCCATGGGAACATGGCGCCGCGGTTCTGGGTGCTGCGGTGCTGCGGCTGCCGCCTCTTCCAGGTGCAGCAGGTCCGTGTGGGCCGGGACCGCGGCCTAGGCCTGAGCCTGAGCCGGGCCTAACGCTCCGCGCGCTCTCCCTTAGGCCAAGCGGAGCGGGAAGTGGAGCTGCGCCGTGTGCGGGCAGAAGCAGGCGGTGCAGAAGGTGAGCGGGCCTTCCCCCGCCACGCTCGGCCGGCGGCGAGGGCCGGGGCGGCGGGCCGGGGTCCTGGGAAGCCCTGCGTGGCGGTGGCGGCTGTGGGGGGCCCTGGTGGCGGCTGTGGGAGCTGTGGTGGCGGTGGGAGCCCCGCTGGCAGCCCTGGGTTGCCCTCTGCAGGGTCCTTCACAGCCCCGGCGGGCGGCCCTGCGTGCTGGGAGCCCCACACAGTGGCCCTGGGGACCCCTGTGCCCCCCCACCCACTGAGCACCCCGTTCAGCAGCCTCCTGGGCCGGGTGCTCCCCGCTCGGGGCAGGTTGGCAGCAGCCCCGCCACACGCACGAGTTCAGTTCTCATCAGCACGGGAATGTTCCCCAGGTGGGGAGGGCGCCGCCTCGCTCCACGCTGTTCGCTCCCACCGGCTCCCTGGGCTCCGTTTTCGTTATTTTTGCAGGTTTATGGGGACGGGTCTGCGGTGGACTGCAGGCTCCACGTCCAGAAGCTGAACTTACTGCAGGGTGAGGCGGAGGAAGCCCAGAGCTGGACACCTCGGTAGAGTCCGCCTGTTTGTCCCGTTTGCTCTGCTGCAATTAGCCTGTACACACGTGTGCTGAGAGCCTGTTACGTAAGCTGAGCTCACGGGGCGGCTTTTCTGTGCCCCTGTACAACCATGGAACGTGCCGGTCTTGTCACCAATGCTTAGCAGCTAATTATTGGTTGGGTTTAGTTGGGTTTAGTGTCCTTGCATGTTTCTTCTCACTAGCTTTTTTTTTTCAGGTAACTTTAGTTGATTAATAGTGTATATTGATTAGACCTTTACCCATTACAGGGTTTGTCTTTTTTTTTAATTGTCTCTTGTTTGCTACTTGGAGAGCTGACCCTGGAAGTGTCCATCTCACAGGGTGACAAGCAATACGGGTGGGCACCTCAGCATCCGCAGAGAAAATACAACCTCAGCTGGTGTTAGAGGTGTTAAATGTTGGCGTCCAGGGGGTTTCACATTGGGAATCTGCGAGGAATTCCCCCTATTTTTGATAAAGGACTTATCTTACTGCAAACATTGAGGTGTAATGCTGTCTGGACAGGAAATTCTAGGTAGTGTTTCCCTGTTTATTTCAGTCCTGAGTCTGTTTACAAAGCACCTAATCTGGAACTGCTCTGATTGTCTCTACAGCTTCTTTTTACTCAAGGTTATTGTTCAGAAATCAGTCCAAACTGGTCAGATAACCTAGTTGTATAGAAGGAGTGCTTCAGAGTTAAACCTTGTGTGTGAAGTTAAACCTTGTGTGGGAAAACCCAAAACTTGGGTTTTGTTCCCTTGTAAAATAGAGTCTCTGCTGCCATTCTCAAGGCATTCTGAAAATATTTTCCCATTTCCTGATGATCAGGATGTAATTAGTAACTTTCAGCTGTTGTCCTAAAAGCTGTGCCTTGTGATTTAATGATCAGCAGCTTTACATCACAGTTACTACTCTGTGTATAGGAGGAAAGAGGACTGCCCTCCAACTACCCACATTTTTGTGAAGCATTTGGGTAATGTATTTTGCAAATTTTTCATTTGACACCTGTTTTCGTAAAGATCCTTTTTTTCTGACATATTTTCTATCCAAGGTCATTTCCTTTGTATAGTGACTAGGTAATATGAAAAGAAATTACACTGATGAAAGTGTGTTCTAGAAGCTTCTTTTAAACATCTGTTTTAGGTTTGTAGAAGACTCTGTAGATGCCAATAAGAATACAGCAGTCGAAAGCGAAGGCAGAAGTTTGGTCCAGCAGGTAGGTTACCTACAAAGCTGAAGCAAATATTAACACCTGACAAACCAGGTGGATCAGAGTGAAATCCTTGACCCATTTATATTGGTCCAGGGGGCTGAGATAACATGTGTAGCCAGAGAGGCTCGAGCAGAGAGGGCACGAGATGTGTGCAGAAGCTCTGTCTTCCCCTGGGATGTCAAACCTAGGAATGTGATACAGGAATCCATGCTCAACAGCTTTGAGGCATCCACCACTTCGGTTAAAACCTCTGAAACAAGAGCACTGTGTGTTGGTTCCTCTTCTTCAGTAGTTCTCCAATGTTGTAGGAAGGAAAGGCAGAAGTCAGTCGCTGGAGTAAATATCTGGACGAGAGTAATGAAACTCAGGAGGATGATGAGGAATCAGGAGAAAGGCAACAGTTTTGCTCCTGGAGGATGAACACTGCGGAAGGACAAAGGTACAGGAAAAAATCGCTTTTTCTGTGGGGTGTGGGAGGTCATGCAGGTCTGAAAGCTGAAGAAAGTACAGGCTGCAATGAGCAATCTGACCTGCCCTAAGCAGGAGTTCAGTAAGTGAGGCAAAGCATTTCATTTATTGGTAGAGCCATTCTTTTTATGAACATCTTTGGTGATTTGCTAGTGACAAATTTCTAGTGGAGCGTAGGAAGGCACTTAGAAGAAACTCTGAGTGGGTACACAGGACCAGCCATATAAGAAGGTTAACAGAGCACATAGCTCGTTTAACAAAGCACATTTAAAAGAGGCATGTTTAACAAAGCACACAGCTCTGTCTCTAAGGTGGCCTTGAGGAGAGAAAAACAAGAAGTCTATTTGAGGAAGTGAGCCAAGCAGAGAGGGATGCAAGGGGGGAGCACCGAGATGTGAGCTGACCAACCAAGAACCGAGCAAGAATGCGTGCTGTCCTTGGAATCAGAGAATTGTCCTATCAAGGAGTGCGCACCCCATTTAGGGACAGAATAATTGTATATAAGGGTTAGTTATCTGCAATAAAACGGCTTCTTCCTATGATTCATATTGAACCGTTTGAAGCCCATTTTGTCCTGCAGTGGAGCTAACCTGTCTGTTTTGTGAATGGTTCTCTTGACCAGGAAACACCAGAACAGCTTCCCCCCTACACTGATGTCCAGGAATTGTCAGAGGAAAATGGAGCTTTGCCGATTGCAAACCAAGCCAAAAAGGTTAAAATCTCTGAGGTATTTACAAACCTATCCTTCTGGCCTCTTTTTTTTTTTTTTTGTCATGGTAATATTCAAATTTTCTGGTAATCTCTTCTTGTGTTCTTCTATTTGAATTGTGGGGGAGGAGAAGAAAATTGTGTCATGAGTTCATCTCTGAAAGACTTTAGGCAAAAACAATGCCTCCTTGTGCAAGCGAAGTGGTTGAGCCAGATTGCTGCATCCATACAGGTGCTGCTTGTTCTTCCTGGCCTCCCTGAGCAGCACCTTTGTAGCCCGTAGTTATTAAGGTCACTGGGATTACAGGCCCTGCCCCTGAAGTTGGCCTTGGTCTTCACAGCCCCAAGTTTGTGGGCCTGTCCAGAGCATCAGTCTCTGCCCTGCCTCAGGATGGGGGTGAAAACTCAGGTGCATTTGAAGGACAAGGATGCTGTTTCTGTGCCTGCCTCGGTGCAGGGTGGATTTGTAACTGAGCTCTCCTCCTTTTTATAGCGCAAGCCACGTTCACTAGCAGTGCCACAACAAGGTGATGGAGCAGCTGGCTGTGGAGACAGGATGATTCCTGCTGCGTGTGAGTCTGCAGTGCCTGAGGGGAGCACACAAATCCCAGCTGTTCCCATCAAGCCCTCAAAGTGGGAAAAATTTCTCTCTTTTTCTGAGAACTGTGGGGAAACCCCTGCCAAGGTCACCTTGCCACCACAGGAGGGCAGTAGAAAGATGGGGCCACCCCCCACTGCAGCAGACATCTTTATGGCCAGTAACTATTCTAGGCAGGCTGGAAATTTTCTACCTCGAGGCCTAGATGACACTGAGTTTAAGAAGTGCCTTTCTAGTACTGAGCACCTGGCCTCAGAAGTGCCAGGCACCACCCTGCCTGGCACTTGCTCTGAGCAAGTGTTGCTCAAAGAACCTCAAGGCCCTTCGATAGGGCCAGCGAGATCTGCTGCCGTAGAGAGCATTGCAGGAAGGGGCCCTGGCGCTCACACTGCATTGCCCATGTGCCCTCCTCCACCTACCCTCATTCTCTCCCCTCCCAGGAACACTTCACATAAATCCCTCTTCTGCACTGGTGAGGAGTTCGATGATAATCTATGAGAAGCTCTGGCATCTTGCTCCTTGATTTTAAGTGACAGCTTTACAGTTTATTTTCTAATGTTGAGTACTGAGAGTGGGTTTTGAAGGGAGGTATCATTTTAATGCAATCCTTTCAAAAGGGCAGTATTAAAGTTGTTAGTTTGTTCTATTGTTGTGTCTGGGGAAAGTATATGAGGATGGGGAAGACTAGACTTTCTGTAGTAACCATTGGATTTATGCACTGCAATCCTGCTATGGAAACAAACAGAGAATAGGCCAGCTTGGGTGGGACCTTCTGTTAGCCAACTATCTGTCTAGTCCACTTCCCCACATACACTCTACCCCTTTTCTCTGCATCTCCCCTTAACAACTCTATCTTTCAGGGCTGCAAAGCAGCCTTCAACTTGAACAGAAAGAAAGCAGTTTCTTTCAGCAGAAAGCCTAAGACTAAGGAGCTGAGGCTCAGTCTCATTAAAAAAAAGAAAAAAAAGTAGTAACAGCAGAGCTCTGTTCCACCTACTTGCAAAGCACAGGTAGAAATGCAGGCCTACAGTCCTGAATTGCCTCCTTTGCCCTGAGGTGCTTGACTCTTTCAATCTCTCTCTCTCTCTCTCTCTCTTGTCTTCTAGGCTATAATGCAGTGAACAGAGCAAGACAGTAATGCTGCTTAAATACACAGACTCATGTAGTGAGAGGCAGGAAGTCGTATTTATTGTTTTCATCCAACTCTACAAGCACTTAGGAACATGAGACAGAAACCCTTAGGAGGAAGAAGGACAAACTGCCAGAGTTGTTGTACTGCTGCTTTCAGTTAGGAAGCAAGTGCCCTTGTTACAGAGACTACTACAAGTGAGGTGGGTGCTTGGAGTACTGGATGGCATCTAACGCTGCCCCGATGTCGCAGTTCTTTGTCTGCAGCAGGCGAGTGAGCCATCCACCCTCATCAGAGAAGCCCATGGAGAGCATCTGGGACAGTGATTCGATGAGGCGAGGGTCAGCTTCTGTTAAGAGAAGAACAGTTCACAGGGTAGAACACCTCAAATATACTTGACAGGCCAGGGAAGGCTCCCCTAGCACAGAGTAGGCAGGCTGGCCCAAAAGAACTCTACAATCATTGGTAACTGTTGAAGACAACCTCTCCTTTATGTTCTGGAAAGGAAAGATTTAGACACATACACACACACAAAAGTGTAACCTGCTAAGGTAGCTGCTGAGTCAGCCTTGTCACAGGACTTTGGCTAAGGGGCTTAGCATGCTCTTACTAGCTCCCACCAGGAGGAAAAAGAAACTCTTAAGTCATAGGATGGTCTAATGTGTCCTTTTAGGTGCTCTCCTTTACAGCATCCAGCATGATTTAGGATACTGGTTTTTTCATGCTGATCGAGTGGAGCAGAGTACCAGTCTAAGCAGTCAGAAGTATGTCAAGACTTAGCTGACCTTGTTACAGGGGAAGATCACCCTATATAAAAGTCAGGCCACATCCTGGCCTGATTGCAAGATTATGGGCAAGTTTAGCTGTAACTTGTATGAGCTTGACTTTTAATACCTCTAAGCAGCTCATTCTTAGGCTGGGCAAGCTGACAACTCCCGAGTTGAAGCTGCTCAGCTGTGAAGCCTGCATGCATCTCCGTACCTGGTGGGAGATGCGGGTAGAGCGCAGCCTCTCGCAACCCTGTAGGTCCTGTTTGGGCAGGACCCTGAGATGGGTCCAGGGAGCTGGGGCCCTCTGTCTCTGGCATTTGTAGAGACTGCAGTTCACCTGTGGAGGGATCCACTTCTTTGGAAGACAAGTGGGTCCAGTCCTCATCACCACCTGACGAACTGCTAGACTCACTGTGTTCCTGAAATGGCAAGAAAAAGATCCAAGTGTTTCAGCATTTTCCAGGTAGGATGCATGTTTCTACTATTTGTCTTTAAACAGTTACACCCACAAGAAGTCCCAACACAAACAGTTAAATACTCTAAAGCTACTGTCAGTCACTAACTGTAACAGTAACTGTAAAGTAACTGTCAGTCACTTAATAGGCTGAGATCTTCATATTCCATCTCACAGTCCACAACGTATTCCTGTAATAATAGTTCTTGTACCTGGGACTGGAGGCTGCCTTCTTCCATTTGTGTGGGCAGAGGATCTATCACCATGTCTTGTATCTGCTCTGCAACAGTATTTACTTCTGTAGCAGGATCTGTGCTATTCCAGTCTGATTTGGTCTCCGTGTCCTGGTTAACAGTAGTGCTGCTGGTCTCAGTACTGTTCTCTTGCTGGGAAGAAGCAGGAGTCACCTTGCTTCTCTGTCCTCCATGTTCCACATCAATATCAACTTCAATACCTAAAAAGCATTTGAGATGAATATTGCCAATTTTTTTTCCTGAGCAGAACACCCTGAAAGAGCCTTTGTTAATCCTAGTCTAGACTTATTAATGTTTCTGTAAGCCTCTGTTTATGGAACATGCAGGAATTAAGTGTGAAGCAAATTTAAAAAAAAAAAAAAAAGAAGTGTTAGCTACCAATCTCCTTTTCCTCAAGACAGGTACCCCACACAGAGGGTAGGCTGTGCCCTTCTAAGCAGAAGCTATGCACATTCATATGAGGTAAACAAAACCCCAAGTCATCATGGACTTATTAGTCATAACAGGTTAAGTATTTCCTCATTTTCTTCCAAATGGGGACTCTGGAAGGGTGTTCAGTGGGTGTTCTCACCCTAGATATTTTTAGTACAGGGAGTAAACTACAGCTTTCACGCTTGGTAGCATGAGGTGGTTCAGGTAACAGCCACAACAGGTCATTGCTCCTGTTAATAGGAGCTACACAGAGCCAGTCTCAGGGATGGGAATGGACAAACCAGAAGTCACTTACCCAGGGGGCTCAGAAAAGCTGCAACACTCTCCCCAACATTCTTTAAGAAGGTGACATTGGGGTCCTGAGGCTGGCTGTTAGTAGAAGCTTCTAGAAAAACAATTTCTGTTAGCACCCAGCAACTCAGCAGGGAGACAGCAGCTACAGAGTGTTGGAGGGAGATACACTCTACAGATGCTATCCAGAGAGATATGGGTATATATTTTCTATTGTTTATCTACTGCACAGAAAGGCAGTATAGAGACCTTAACCAACCCTGAACTAGCTCAGGAACGCAGGACCAGTGACACTAGCATTGTTAAGGCTCACTAGCCATGCTGTGAGAGGCACATTTAGAGCAGACAGTGAGCAACTTCATCTAGCATGGCCCCCCTAATTTCAGTACTGTCTCTGTATCCTCATATCACATGGGCCTGAGCAAGCCTTAACACATGAAAGTGTTGATTATTTTAAGGTAATTAGATTAGTTTCAGTGTTTTTTTTTCCACTGAAACTTCCTAATTCCACACCATGCTCCAGAAGCCTCTGCTACTCTGGCTTTGCCACCAGCACCTTTTTTACCAGAGCATCCTCTTACCTTGCTCAGTAGGTGCAGTGGAGGCTGCAGCACTGGCCCGAGCTTGCTCTGAGTTTTGACATGGAGCTGGAATGACAGGATATCCCCAGCGGTGCATCCATGGGAAGGGTGGAACACCATGCCTCATCTTACGGAGCCAACGTCCTCGGGGCACCCACTGGAAAGAAGTTATGTTCATGTGACTGTGCTCGAACAAACAGTTTTGGGCAACTGAAACTCAAGGTGTGGATTTTGTTTAGCAGCTTTCATGGAAAATCCTGTTTTAATCTCCCTCCCTCCACCGCAGGGGGATTTGGCTCACCTCAAATGGATTCAGCAGTGGGCTCTGAAACATCACCATGTTGTGCTCCCTGTGGATGCCCTTATTCTCACAGGTGCTGCACAAGTCATAGTCTGGGCAGACAGTGCACTTGAACCTCGCACCCACGACAGGTCCGTCGCAGCCGTCGCAGATCACGTTGGGATGCACCATGTCCCGGGGAGGCTCCTGGCTGCACTGCGCGCGATGCTCCCGCTTGCACTCCTTTTTCTCTATTAAGGAAAGGAAACCGTGTCTGGAACCAGGTTTCTATTTAAAGGCTGGTAATCGGGCAGGGGCGAGGGGAACAAACAGCACTTGTTACCGCAGTATTGACTTACTAGGTCAGTTTATTTTTACGCTGGCTGCCAAACTCAAGCTGGGGATACGTAAGAGAACCTGAACCGAGTGCAAAGTGGCTTCCCCAGGCTACCTGCTCCTCGTGCCGAGCATGCCTCGTCCTCAACGGATTCTTTTTCCATGCTTATGTTAGATTAATAGCACACTGCCCCATTTGACTTCTTGCCTATGCAGTGCCCAGGAACGCAGGACCAAAAGCTCCCAAGAGGGAGCTAAGAGGTGCCAGGAGGCTTAGCTGATGTGAACGGGGACAGGGGCAGTGGCTGCTGTGACTCACAGGGCTGCAGATGAAGCTTGGTGGGTATCTGAAGCTGCACAGAGCAGCAGGCAGGAACTGAGCACTGAGAAACAGACTGAAATCTGGGCTTCTTACCACATCTTTGGAAATAGCAGAGATCAGTCACGTGTTGTCAGGGAGGCAGCATGAATAAAACAGCATTTTTTGGTGAGCTGGGGCTACACAGCTAGGTAAAACATGGTAAACTTGCCCCTCTGCCTCGGCAGGGTGCCCTTTCCCCGGTCGGGGCATGCCCCCTCGGCCTCACCTTTGATGTAGACGCGCAGGACACCGTCCTGGACGTAGGGCAGGGCCAGCTCCAGCTCCTCGTCGCTGGAGAAGGCGATCAGGTCGCCGTCCTCATCTGGGGGACACCGAGAGCCGCAGTGAGCCCCGCGCCCGCGCGGGGAGCCCCGTCGGGCGGCGGCCGCCCCCTCCCCGGCCCGCTCACCCTTGTAGTGCATGCGGAAGGCGGGCGGCGGCCCGGCCCGCAGCAGCCCCTGGAAGAGCTCGGCGACGCGGTCGTGGATGGCCTGGTAGCGGGCGGGCGGCGGCAGGGAGAAGCGGCGGATCTCGCGCGTCGCCTCCTCCTTGCCCAGCAGGTAGGCTTTGACGGTGAGCGCCGCCATGGCTGTGGCGCAGCAGGAATTGCCGGCGCGGCGGCGATGGG